AGTGTTGATCTGTATAAACAGTCATTAATGAGTACATGTTGCACCCTTCCCTGGAGGCAGAAAACCATGTTTCTGCTGAGTTGATGAGTAAAATTAATATTTGCTCACCAAAGATACTGTCTTGAGATCCAGTTTGCTGCTGCTATCTTATCCCAAACTCAGACTTCAGAGTGACTGTTTTTGTACTTTGTTGTACACAGATTTCTCTGGTTGTTCAGGCTTTTACTCCCATTTGCTGTATGTTAGCCGCAACACTTTTGGCTCAGTTCCCTGAGCTAGACTTGGGATAGCACAAAGACATTTATAAAGGTAAACAAGAGTATTGTTTGAGTGTCTTTACAAACAACAGAAGATAGTTTGTTTGCCCAGTGGAAGAGGAATGCTTACTATCTAGCAAGGAAGGAAAAATACTTTCCCTTCAAGCTTTATAGAGTAGAAAAAAATGACTGCAGCTTAAAGCTGACTGGAGCCCGTGAACCTCTAATGTTAGATACCAGCCAATCTTCAGCTGAGGTTTTGGTATACAAAAGAAGAGCCCTGGGATCTAGCAGGGGAAGGGCTAAGGTAAGATTAAGAGAGAAATATGGGAATAAAAATGAAAATCTATATAAAATGCATGAAGGGTGGGGAAACGATATCAACAAGGAGATGACAAGGGTGGACTTCTCTGTTGCTCTGAAGGGTGTCTGGCAAACACTGCACCTGACAGCATTTCATATGCATTTCTGCCTGGCCAAGATCTCATTTTTAATTATAACTAGGTGTTTGAATTTCTTCTGCACTATTCTTGTGTGAAGTTCTTCCTGCATTGGTTTTCATGTTTATTTTCTCAAAGGAGAAAAAAATTTGCAGACTCCCCAGATATTCTAAGAAGAAAAGCCAGCCGTTTATTTAAGCTGGCTTTCAATATTCAGAAAGTTGCCTCCACAAGAAAATGCTAATGTTTGGCTTTGGGCTTTCCTGGGAACACAAATAAACTGCTGTTTATTTTTTGTCTTTGGAGATTTTGTAGGTGTTTTTATTTCTTCCTTGTTCTTTTAAGCCTTTCTTTCTACTTATCCAGCATCTCACATAACTTTGATATTTATCTTTGCAATAGAGTAATTTACATGAAGATATGCAGGGGTTTGAGAATGTTTTCTTTACCGGTAGACAGAATAGGAAGTTAAAAATCATCTGTTTTCCATTCAGTATCTATTTTGCAGTGCACTTAGAAAGAGACATATGCTGCTGCATGTGTGATGAGGCTAATTCTGTCTTTGCCTTAGTGGAGTTGTTCACACTGAGCTTGCATTCTCATGAATTAAATAAGAAATTAGGAGTTCGGGTTCATGGTGGGCTCTCAGGAGTCTGCTTTGTTAGAGCTCTGTGAAACTCACCCGCCCTCCAGGCCCCACCAACCTTCTGCTGCCACTGTGCTCTGTTTCTTGCGGGTCATCCATGGGAAGCTAGGGGTGATTGAAGACTTCAGGAGGCTCCAGCACTGCTTTGGCCTTGCTGTGAAATTAAAATTGAGTCTTGGTAAAGTGACAAAATCTTGTATAGGCCAGACCATGCCAGTCTCCCCAGAGTTTTGTTTTCTGAGGCTCCTGGAGGCATTCTCATTAACTTTGTGCATCAAGGACTTGTGGAAATAGAGGAGCTGTAAAGGTGAATTTTTGAGTGAGGAAGTTCATCCTTCATTCTACAGCATTTGGAGATTATCAAAGTCAGGGATATTGCTGAGGGTGGCTGTGGCCAACCACATGGTCAGCTGACCATCCGCATCTGAGCCTTGGTGAATGGCATTGAAGGATTTCTTTTTAATGAGCATGTTAAACATGGGACAAATTCCATTTTAGTACAGTCATTTAAAGTCATTTGTGATACAGATGATTTATTGGCAAATGAGGTGTTAGGTCTACCATAATCTGGGGCTCATCCAAGTTTCCATTCCTCTAAATACAACTGATCTAAGTAATGGTTCAGCTGTGCACAGTGCTCTTCAGTACTTTAATGCAGATGAGCTGTTCTGACTGTAATGACGAGTGCAATAGCTAAAACTCCTATACAGTAATAACAAAATGTGCCTGCCATCATCTCCTTAAAAATCTCTGAAATCCCAGTGTGGTTGGCTGTTACTTTAATCCACTGCAAGTGGAAATGGCTTAAAACAGACACAGATCTCAAAGTTTCCCATGGGCATTTTTAATGGAGAATATAGTCTTAGTATTGAATATCTGAAAATATCACAAAAATTTATTTCAAAAAATAATGAAAAATAAGCAAAAAACCTAAGTTAGTACCAAGGAAAAGAAACTAAGTCTTGAATAAAACCTGCTATAATGAAGCCTATCATATTTTATACAGTAATCACAGTGAATAAAATATTCTGACAAAATTTTCTAGATCAGGTAGTTCACCATGCACTGGTATGTTAACAAAGATGCTCATCCCAGCTTTACTAAAGTAAGGACAATAAAATTCTAGTAGAAACTAAATGTGTTGTGCATGTACAGGAGAAATGTCTATCGTAAGATTACATTGCAGTTAGGTTCATGATGACCTGTCTTTTCTTTTTGCTTTGATTTTCCCCTGGCTTGTAGTTACTGAAGTCCCCAAGGATTACAGGGACAGAATGCCTAAAAGTGCTCTTTAATGCTTGACGGCATGGCTCTGACAGTGTTAGACACACATTTTAAACACAGTAACAACTGAAGTATAATGCTGTACACAGTGTAGAGGGTTTACAGAAGAGGCGAATACAGATTTTGCAGCTTATGATGGAGAGTCTTTGATATAGCACTTTCAAAAATTAGATTAGGGTGTATATCATTTAAAACTCTTTTTCAGTTGGGCTGTAAATTTAATGGTAAGGTTTGTTTGAAATGAGCTCTTGTGGTCTGCAAGGAAGAAAATCAATCGGGGTTCACCTTATCATTTTTCTCTATCCTTGGTAGGGATGCAATTAAATTCAGTCTGAAAGGTCACAGTGTGGGTTATACATTAACCTCACGCTAACCCTATGTATGATACTGCCACTGAGAATGAGTTAATAAAGATATCAGTTGGAGCTGCACATTTGTTCTCTTTTTTTCAAACATATCTGTGTTCACGCACACTTCTAATTAGGTCTTTTTGCATAATATTAGCAGATATCCAGAATATTTGCAGGGTTGTTAATTAGGTTGTAGGCTAGTGTACACTGAAATGTACGGTGGAGTTCCACAGTTGGTGGCCAAACCCACTTAAACTCATTTGCTGAAGTTCATGTTAATGCAGGGATATATGTCAGTGAGACAAGGCTTTGTTTTATTTCCACACTATGATGATGTTTAAAACAGCAGCTGCAGAAAGTGGGTTTAATTTCAAAGTGCAGTACAGTTTCTGAATGCCATTTGCATTATACACATTTGCTCCAGATGACAGAAATTAAATTTCTTATTGAGAATTGGGCAAGTACTTTGGTGTTGAAGAGACTCTTGACCTTTTTAACCTATTAAATTAAGTTATGGGGAGGTATTTGATTTTAGGTTTGATTTGTGAGGCCTTTTTAAAAGGAACCATGTTTTCCATATTAGCTATTAAAGAAAAGCAGTGCAGTGCAACATTAAGAACAGCAATGCAGTTTCAGAGGCAAGGTAGAGAGACATAATAATACAGCACTTCTTTTCCAGAGACTAGCAACGAGAGCTCAACAAATTTTACTTCTAAAAACATTTCTGCTCCTCCCTGGAAAGCCATTTATTGTTACATGAGATTGCAGAATTTCTAATGAATGTATTGAACAATGGGGCACGAGAATGAGAAATATAAAATGTATACTTCAGATTATGAGATAGTGCCAGGGGAAGTGAATTTTGGAAAGTAACAACCTGTCAGGACAGCCTCTAAAGTATGTAATATTTTAGAACAAATGTTGAACAAGTTAATAAACTCAGGGAAGCAAATGGAAAATGGGATAAAATGAAAAATTATTAATAAATATTTTTGTGCCAAGGGTAGCTGTTTCATCTTCTTCAGTTCTGTTGCTGAATAAAAGCAATAGGTGTGGTCCATCTCAATTTTCATAAATTTGAATGTGGTGCCCACATGGAGGATTCTCAGTATGGTAAGAGAAAAAGGAAATTTATAAAAGCAATTTTAAATAGGTAGAGAATTTAATAAAGAGATGTCAATATTTGTCTTGAAATGTGAGTGTTGGGCCAAAGGGAGCCTGCTAATTAAATCCTCAGAGGAGATGAAACATGTTTAGTATTTTCCTATCATTGTCATAAATAAGCAGTAGAATGCTTATGAATTTGACAAGCAACAGAATTCTTATGAATTTACAGGTGACTCAAAGGTAAGAGTCCCTGACACTTCAGAAGAGGATCATAGCATCATATGAAAAGGGTTACGTTTTCTTCTGGATTGGTATGATACGTATGGCATGAAATGTAATTGTGCAAAGTACAAGGCCATGCTTTTTCCTATGGGTAAAGCTAGGCCAGGCAAAAAAATACAGCTTCTGATTATCTCTGAGGTTCGTGAACAGCCTTTTGCAGGTGTAGCAGAGGTAAAAATAAAGGGCATCTCTAGGATGGAGCATCATGGGGTTCATGGAAGGTACTCAGGAGTTCCCTTGCAGTCCTGTGCTCCTGTATTTGTCTGAGGTGTTTCTCATGAGGAATTGGATGTGCATGTGCCTCTCTATGTGTGGATGTTTTAATTAAATTGCTAGCTGCTTCCATGTGTTTGAAGCATTTCCCAGTGGTGTATGTGTCTATGTGCTGCAAGCAGTGGGAAGGATGATGTGTTCTTATGCACACAGCTGCAGCACAGCAGGAAAGGGGAAGACTTAAGAGGCAGCAAACTCTGCAACTCCTGAAGGGATGGTTGTCAGTCACATCGGCTTATCCCAGGTCCTTCGCTGCTGTGGGAATGTGCTGAATTTCTGCTCCTCTTGGGATGATCAGCAATCACTGCTCATGAGCACAACCTAAATATTGACCTGCCTGCAGAGAAATAGGAAAACTCCCTTTCTACAGCACATAGGTTTTACTCTTGGAAGAGTACTTGTGCTGTGAACAAAACTTCACAGAATCACGGGAGGGCTGAGGTAGGAACAGACCTCTGAAAGTCATCTGGTCCAGCCCCCCTTGTTCAGGCAGAGCCACCTAGAGCTGGTTCACCAGACTTTTGAATATCTTCAGGGAGAGAGCCTCTACTACTTGTGGAAGTTTCTCTGTAGAACTGTGTTGAAATCATGCAGACAGACATTAGATGGGAAGATTCCAATTGCAGGAATGTTTCTGGTTGGAATGAGGTTTAGGTATCTGAAGCGCAGGAGACAAGAGATAGATGAGTCCTGATGGTGAGGTAAATGCCGCGTCCAACATTTTTGTAGTTCCCAAAGGCAAGCTGGAGTTCTTAAATTGATTGTTTGGTCAAGTTGACTTTCCATGGCAGGCACACTATGAGTAAATACCAGCTCTGCTGTGCCACCTTCTGTCAGCTCATACTGCCAAGGGCAGGCATATACAGGTACCCTTAGGTACTGTCTTTGTGCCATAAGTCCTCTGAGAAAAGCACGACTTCTCTGCTGCTTCAATGCTGCCATTGGGAGAGGACCTTGGATGCATGAAGGAGGGAGCTCGAGCATGAGAGGAGGATGTAGTGAGTGGTTTGCTGAGCACCAGGGCCAGCCCACAGCCATACAGGCAGGCCCGGAGCAGGAGGTCAGCACTAGGGCCATGTTTGTGGTGCTTGGGTTGGGTCAGAGCAGGTGCTGCTTCTTCTCTGCTCTTGTGGCTGCTCATCTTCTCTCCTTGCACATGGTTCTTCGAGATTTGTAGGGCTCTGTGGATTTCAGGAGAAAGCATATGTCCTGATTTCTGTTCTCCCTAATCTTGAAAAAGCAGAACTCAAGGTTTCACAGGAAATCCAGACATTAGTTACATATGTGTGTATTAGTACATATGTGTGCTAATGCTCATGTTACCTTAACTGTCACAGAAGGAAAGAGTAGAGGTGACAGTTTATTCTACTTAGAGCACATGAAGCTTGCTTCTTGCATTAGCCATGACAGTGGTTATCAGTAGTGGGTTGTATCCTGAAGCATTTGCTTTTTTTTTTTCTTCATATTATTCTCACCCAGTTTCCATGCTTACATTGTTTACCCTTGACATAAATGATTATTTCTTCCAAATATATTAAACACATTAATCAAATTTTCATGCCTGAAGTAGATTTAATACGCATTTTTAGGAAAGTATTGGACAGATTTCACTGTTGTTATTCCAAGAATTTTTCTTGCTGATTTACTGTGCTTTGAGAATAAGATTGTCTTTTGTGTCAGACGTGCAGCATGGCAAGCCAACAAATGTGAGAATCGAGATTGACTTGATGCTACAGACAAGAATGTGTGATTTTCTTTCTGTCATCTAGTTCTGTTTAATACCAACAGAAATGGCACATCTCCCACTTTCCTGTGAGTAAAGCTTCTGCATTTCTGCAGTGAGTCCCAAAAAGTTTGATTAGGGCTTTCCTCAAGGGGACAGAGGAAGCTGTGGCCCTGTCCACCAAATCCACCACTTCTCTGAGAAAAAGCTGCTTCACAGTACAAATGACTGAAAGGGTATAATTTTATTTTTCATGACATAAAGACATATGAATATGCTCAGGAACCATACACTTCACTGTATAATTTTCTACTTGATTATGCCTTAAAATTGTAGAGCAGTTGTATTATTTTTTATATAGCAGTATCATGAGGGTTCAAGAGTACTTCTTAACCAGCATCGAACTTCAACCTGAACAGTGAGGTTCATGGGTTTATTCACTTAATATCTCTTGATATTCACTGATAATCACTGTCAGCCTTATCTTGAGGAAAGCAGAGAAAAATACAAACTGGTTTGTTCAAACATGAGAAATGAAGTGATGAAGGTCCTCATAAACTCATTACACAAAATGAAGAAAACTGGCCCTGAAGTTCACGTTCTAATTTTTGCTGCAGTTTTGATGTAGTGTGGGAACTATTATGTTCCAGGCAGTAAGAGAATACTTGCTCTTACAGTTAGAAGCCTTATTATTTTTGTATTATTACTATTAGCATCATAATTCTGCCAAATGAAAATGTGTATCCAGACATTACGTGGTCTTCTGCTTTTCACAGTTCATTTTTTTCTGTCTGTCAGTGAGTGCAAGTTCTTTCACCATAATTTGGAACTTCTGAACAGTGTCGACAAACAAATGTCCATTCCCACACTGTTAAACAAGAAATTTGTGGCTATTCTTACCCTTCGGGTGGGCAAGGACCTAAGAAGATTGTATTATAGAAGATTGATTTCTGCTCTTCATCTAAAAAGGAAATCTGTTTCTAATCTGGTTTGGGATGAGAATTCATAGTGACCATCTGCATGAAAATTTTACAGTAATTCAATTTTAAAAAAAAAATCTGGCTCAAAATCTCAGCCACTTTCCCCCTCCCCTCCCCTCCCCGAATAAAGTTTCCTAGTTTGGCATCTCAGGGAAGAGCATCTGCTTCAAAGATGTCTTTGGAAGTTCTGAGTTATTAGTCCTTCCCTTTTTAAACACGTTTTTCCATTATGCTGCCTCATATAGCCAGTAAGAAGTTTCCAGCTGTTATGGGCAAGCTCCATAGTGTAGACATTGTCTAGTTTCATCTGACTTCACCAGAAATATGACCACGCTTCACTCCATAATATGAATGTCTTTTTTCATCTTTTTCCCTAAAAAATAAATTTGACATTGTGATTTTCATTCATTATTCACAGTTTTGACAGAATCTTTCTACTAAAAATGATCATGCCTCACATTTCAGCCTATTAAAAAGAAAATTACAACAGAGTCAGACAGAAGGCTGGTAATACTTAGAAAGTCCAGTCTGCGCTTACATTTTTCATTATGATTGACAACCTGTTTAGAAATTCTCTGTATGTAAGTTCCAGCCCAGATTTTCAGTAGTCTCAATGAATATTTATTGGGATTTGCAAATACTTAGGCTGTATTCTATCCCAACGTGAACTTTTTTCCACTGGCCATTCAAATAGTTATCCTTTATTCACATAAATACTTCAACAAATATTTAACATTCACATTACATTAGATAATGTACTTGCATTCATGTATTATATTGACATTAATCTCAATATAAATGTAAAATGTTGATTGCTTGTGCTTTGATATTCTCACTGCAGCACTGTATTAGGTTAAGGATGCTACTGGGTATCAGAGGGGACCACTGTTCCCAAAACTCTTTGACCTGGTTCACTACAAGAAAGCAGTTAAAAGCCAACATGGAGATGAAAATATCTTTCACAGCTGTGACAACACAAAATATGTTACTGCTTTGTGTGAAAATGAGCAGAGACAATTTAAACTCTGCATTTGGCCAATTAGTCTTATGGTGTCTTTTCTTTGACAATAAAGATGCTGTTGGCAAAACCTATCCAGAAAGGACAGAGTGGGTATTCCTGCAGAGACTGCCTAGAGGTTTGGGGTGCTTCTGGCATACAGATATTTGTAGCAGATGTTTCCAATTAACTGTAATAATTTTGAAAAATAAATTAACTATCTTCGGGATCTCCTCGATTAATATTGATGTGGCAGCAGTGTCCTCAGCCTGGAAGTACTCACAGTAGCAGTGCTTGGGGTGGACAGGATAAAAAACTTAAAGGTGATGATTTGCCACAAACAGGAAGATCCAGACCGTTGTACAGAGCAGAATGAGGAGAGAACTTTTGTCTCAGTTTTTCTGTATGTCCTGGGCAGTCAGCCCTCAGGACCTGCTGAGGAGCATGGCCTGGCTCCTGAGGCAGTGCCAGGGGACAGTGGCAGTGCCTAATTTCTGCAGGCCTGTGTGGATGGTTGTGTTAAGTCCCTAGGTGACCTTAGTGCCAAAATTAAAGAATGTGTTCCTTGGTTGCTGGTGCTTCTGAGGAGCATAATGTCAGTGGAGACACGTGAGCTCCTCAGGGATCCTGGACCTCTCCATGTGAGGCTGCTTGGTTTGCTCAGAAACATTTCAATGGCATATGGAGAGTTGAACTTGGTGTGGCTGTGCTATGGGACACTAGGGAAAGCATGGATGTTTCTGGTAGATTTTTTCAGGGCTTCAGGACTCTTATTGTGTGCTGCCCACAAACAGATGGGAATCTCTACCATGAAAAAAAATGAAGAAGGTCGAAGAGTCTTTTTCAACTTGTACAGAATTTTATATGGCTTTATTTTAGCATAGTTATGTTTCTTGTCAAGTCCATATTGCTTTATTTGCTTCATTATAGGTGTATTTCTTTTAATACCTATAGCTGCTTAAGTAGTTTTAATTTGAACTTGATGATTTAAATATTTTTTACTTTTTTGAATGTACCTGTATTTTTGCCACTTCTATTTGTTGCCCTCTTCATAGCTTTGTTGCAAGACACATTTAGCTGATATTACCTAGTTCTTTTTACACTCTTAAACTCTTATATTTGTAATTTTTCAGCTCATATTGTAGATTCCTCTTCTTGACAGTGATTGCAATCATCGCTAGTATAATTTCTTTGCTTTTATTTTTGTTCCTTTCAAAAGTTAAAGCCACAAATTAGGTTATTTGAAATAGGCATGCTCTGTTAGAAAATTCCCAATACAGGCTCCACAGACAACAGGAAAGCTGTGGCCTTGTGGAGCTCCTGAGTGTTTACCAGACAGAAGCTGGATCTCACTGGAGAAAGGGAACTGCTGCAAGGTTATCCTGAGGTTTCTGAACTTCTATTTCAATGGAAAGATATTAAATCTTGTTTCAAGGCACTTTTTCCTAAACCATGTCTGGAAAACTACAGCTCCAGCCTAGCGAATCTCAGGTGGCCATCCAGGATATTCACTAAGTATATTCATCTCACTGCTTGTCATTTTAGCACAGATACATCTAACCTGCTTTATGGCGTTGCCTTCATCTTTCCAGAGGCTTGAAGATCCATCTTTTCCCTCTTTAGCTGCCAGACGCTCTTGCAGTGCTCCATGGAATATGAGCCTGCAAGAGATGTTTCCAGACTGACAATGAAGAAATGATGGGCTGGTCCAATGGGCAAAATCAAGTATCCTAAACAACAAGGATCATGCTCATATATTTTTCACATTCAGTTCTCCGAAGCCTCCTCATCTGTAGCGTTTTCAGGGTGTCCTGCTTGTGATGTCACAGAGTCAAGGTTCCAGTTTGGAGTGGTGACCAACTTAGCCATCAAGACCAAAACTTCCTGGCTGGTGTTGCTGCCCCAATGATATGGCTGTTAGCTGTAAAAGCCACTGGGAATTAATCTTCCCTTTCATTCCCATTTATCACTCCTGCCCTTTTATGCAGTGAGAGTATTAGTGCGGTTGCAATGCAGACTCATTCTTTGGGGTCCTGCCTGCTGCTGTCCTTTGACATGAGCCTTCAGTTACTCCATGCTGCTTCTTTTGGCTTCTAGAAACTCAGCTTCACAAACTGTAAAGGGTCTGTGTGATATTTCTTTAGAGAAAGCCCAGCTGACTGTGTATAATCTTAAGCCATGTCATTTTCTGGTACTTTACTTCACATTATCTGCCTGCAGTGGATAATTGTATGCTTAAGAGAGAAAAACTTTAACATTACCAAATAGTTCCTTGCAAGGCTTTTTTAAAAAAATTGTTTGGAAAGCTCATTGTTACCATTTGGGATTGTCTCCAGTTTACTGCCGAGTCAGGAAAACAGAGAAGATAAGGTCTCTGCAGTGATATGAAACCTTCACGTTGCACGTGTGCAGTTTGTTTTCACACTTTCATCTGCCTGTCAGACACTATTAGTGAGAACATAAAATTATATGGAGGGGTAGGGCTGTAGCTTTTGTCTTTTTTATGCTAAGGCAAATTGAGGATAGCAAGATGATGCTGATTCAAAAATAATCATATCTGTAACTCTTTTAGGGCTAGCGCTAAAGTAAGAATGAGATGTGACAAGGGTCTTAAGCAAATGGAAATTGTAAAGCTGAAAACACAAATGTGAAAGATGAATGAATCCTGTGAACTCTCGTCTGTATTGAAAAAGACTATGTCAAGAACGGGGCTTAAATTTTTTTGGCTGCCCACTTGCATGGGACAGAATGTAGTTAAAACAATTAATGTAAAATCTTATTCCTAAGCAGGCATATGTCTGGAGAAATAAAGGACTGACACAGCACCACAGGCTCATGGTGGGTGGAGTGGTGGTGCTCTTGCATGCTGGATCAGGTTCTGGCCTTTTCCACCTGCAGAAAGTGAAAGTGTTTCTAATGATTTCAACAGAGCAATATTGCACAAAGATTTTTATATGAAAAAAATCAGATTGAAAGTGGCAAGCATGATGGGAATACAGTCTTTCAGATTATTTGCTGTGATATCCCCCTTTGTTTTAACCACTTCCTGGCCAGAGTGCAGCAAGAACAAAGCCATGGTCATCTTAAATGATTTTCTAGGCATTTTAAGAGATGCTCTTGCAGCATAGATGAAGCATTAATGTGGCATCGCTTTGGTGTGCCTGGGGGATTTATGTTGTGTTGATTCAGTGATAAATCAAGTAGGTAATATCCAGTGCTGTAAGTGGTACTGCTAACACTGTCAGAGGAGAGGGGCTGGAACAGCTGGCAGGGGAAGGACAGGGATGCAGCTGCAGCAAAGGGGTGGCTGAAGAACAGGTCACAGGTAAGAGCAGTCCTTGAACTGGTCTTATCTTTGTATCTGTGAACAGTGATTTTGCACATAGATTATACTGAGTGGTAAATATGTACTTTGCCTGGAGGCACGACATCAGATGCTTGTCCTTTTATGCCTTTCCCTCTGTTAAATATTTTTATAAAAACCCCAAATAGCACAGTGAGCGTTTTAAATTTTTTTTATAAAGGAGCTATTAGCAATTATCGTTATATCAGTAGGGAGCAACATAAAAGCCAAAGCATTCAATGCCTCCTGTGCTTACTTGACGACATTAAATTCTTGCAAAGAATGGCCTCCTATTTAATAAGCAAATTCTAAATTACTTCCAAACTTATTCACATTTTTGCATGAAGCTGCTCTTGTGTTTTATGAACTTATGACCAAGCAAAATAACTTTTGTTTTATCAGGATTTGGAATTAATTGAAAGACTGAACTTAAAAAAAAAAACAAACAAAAAAAGCTACTTGATGAAGAGGGGCAAGGAGATTTCTCTGTGTGTACAAGGCCTGTAATTTTTGAAAGTGTATCTGCCAGCCCAGTTATATCTCTGTGCTTACAAGATTTCTTGGAGAAGATCTGTGTATGACTGGTATTTGACATTCTTAATGTCTGTGTTTTAGTTTTGAAGGGGCTACACATATGAAATAACCCACCACAATTTGAGTTTACTTCCTCTATGTTCTATAAAATTAGGAAAGTAAAAAAAAATGAAGAGACCTGCATTAACTGGCCCAGTTGGGATTATCGGCTGAGATGCTTCCAGTGGCAGGGTGCAGTGATTGGTTTTCCAGGGCATGCTTTCCAAGTTGATGTTTTCAGGAGATTTGTCTGAGCAAAGATTTAGGCTTTGACTTACTGTGATTTTTGGTGTCTTAATACAGAGAGGATGCTGACAGTCACCCTAAAAATCAGATTTTAAAAGTGATGGAAAAAGGGAATGAATATTTTGTCTTTCCCTTCCTCAGATAGTAAAAGGAAAGGTGGGGAGGGTACATTATAATTTATTGAACATTATTCCTGAAACACTTCAGAGAAGGTAAGGCTTTCCTAAACATATATTACATGATGAATTTGTTTCCTCTGCCCCACTGATTTCAAATGAAGTGCTTGTCCTGCTTGCAGTGTGTAAGGCACACTTACCTTTTCCCTGGCTGTAATGTGAGCAGCGCTTTGCTGCCTGGATTCCCACGGCAGCAGCAAGCAATCTTGTCTGCAGTTATGATGCTCTTCATCGTCATGGGCCTGTCACTGGTATCTCAGAGGCAGCAGTCAGGGTCCTGGTGGTGAAGCTCGCAGATGGCTGCAGCTGCTCCAATGTGGAGCGAGGAATGTACACGAAAAAGGAGAAAAAACGTAATATAATCCATTGACAACTGTTAGGAAGGAAAAAAGCTAGGGTAGATGTATTTTAGTAGAACAAAAGCTATTTATACAAAGCCACCTTCTGTGGTGCAATAACTGATGGCTATAAAACAGGGTGACCCCTGGAGGTCAAGGGCCTTGGTGGATGGAGGGCAATGGAGGTGGAGAATGCCAGGCTTTCTCCCTGCTCTGCCACAACACACAGCACCCCAGGAACACTTCCCATCTGTGGGAGAGGTGCTGGAAGGACTGCTGCCCGCTGGCTGCCCAGCCACTGCTTTCTCCACAGTCAAGGGAAGAAAGCTCTGGGAAAGCCAGGCTCTTGGAAGGGGGGGTGGGGTGTATGCTTTGGACAGGGGGAAGCACATGGGGGCTTCTTTTCTTGTTCCTCTCCCCTCCGGCTAGCATAAAATGTTCTTCTCACGTCCCTGTCTGTCCATCTGGCTGCTTTGGTGTGGGAGAAAACACATACTGAAACCCATACAATTCCCATGGATTTAATGCAAATTCCAAAGCAGAATTTCAGGATTTGGTTAAGTGTGGGATTTTTCTAAAAGGCTAATATAATCCTCTGCAGTGTGCGATTACATCTCATGGCAAAGCTTGCTTGATTAAGCAAATCCTATTTCTGATCTGTTTTAGGATTTTATGCTAGCATCTCTCCCAGTTCAATGAGTTGGCATAGGCAATACTGTTTCCTGTCTTCTCCACTGTATTTTGTCCAGCATGGAGTCTGGAGGTGGGGAATAGGCTTCTAACACTCTGGTCATCACTTATTTAAATAAAAGAGGTTGCTTTCAAAGACTAAAAAAAAATCTTGTCATCCACAAGTTAACTGCAGGATTCCCTAAAGATCGTGTTCAGTTCTCGCTGGCAGTGATTAAAAAGGTTTTTTTCCAAAGAGAGATACACAAATGTTCTGGGAAGTCCTCCTTGTTGGGGCACTGGTCAGAGTGGTGATGGTCCACGTTCTCTGTCCATCAGTCCACTCTGCCTGCCACTTCCCATGCACGGCAGGAAGGTGGTAAGTGACGGCACACAAACAGCAGGTACTTTCAAAACTCATCCACTGCAATGGAGGCATTGTGGTAGGGGAAGGCTCGTGAGTGGTGGTCTTCCTCCACTTTGGATTTGGCATCGCCTGCTTTGTTGAGCCGTGGTCCTGTAGAGCCTTGATGTTACCAAGTAAAGTCTCCTGTGCAGATACTGTCTTTCATATACCAAAGTAGAGGCATTCCAAAGGCTGAGCCTCTGCTTGCTAGCTGTAATTGATTCTTGATGCTCAAGATAGTTTTCATTATGTTGTTATTAGTTATTAAAAAAAAAAACAAACCAACTTCTGTCATGGCCTTGTGTGAGCCTTTACAAGCAGACACTTTCAGAGATTTAGGAGAGCCCTGCTGGGCAGACACCTCTGGCCTACTGGGCCACTTCACCCCCAGAAGTGTTTGTTGAAAGTGTTTGTTTAAAGTCAGGGCAGAGTCCAGTTTCTCAGCACCCTTGCATAACCATGGCTTTATCAGACACTTGAAAGATTTGCTCTTTTTAGTTCCTTTTTAATTACTCTCTGAATTCTTTCAGTCTGGCCTTGTGAACCAAACTTGAGTGAGACTTTCAGGTATGTGCCAATCTATCCGTGGCAAGTGTGTCCAAGGGAGAACAAAGTATCAAAGGACAGTATAATATTAGATAAAAAAACAGGTCTGATCTCTCACGGGTAGTGTGGAGTCCAGGCAGAAAGCATAAAATCCCACAACAGTGGCAGAAAGAAGGTAGAAACCCTGTCTCTTGTTCACCTTCTTCAGGAGCGGTATGAATTTGAGGGGCCAGCAGCTTCTCTAGGCTCTGTTTTCTTTTATATGAGTAACATATGTTTTCTTTTATACGAGTAACATATGTTTTCTTTTATACGAGTAACAACTTCGGGCAATGTTGCTAGATTTCAGTCCAGTGCCAAGTGAAGTAGATGCAGAGGCAACCAGTTCCCTGCTCTTTCTTGTGGGATCTTAGGAGGACCACACAAACAACCTTGGTTGCATTAAGAAATGTTTGACATAATTAACTAACTTTATGTTTTCAAGGGAATTGAAGTTGTTCATCTTGTTTTTCCTGCTTTTTAAACAGGTTTTCATTGTGAAAGATACAGTGATAATCAAAGAGACCAAGAACTGTTAGCTGACAGTCTACATTCCATCCTGTTTTTCCTGAAACTAAACTTTGAGTATTAAAGACCATCTCAATCACTGTGGTTAAACAAAAGTTTCTAAGAGTGGTTTCTTTTTCTTTTCTTTTATATTCCTTGTTTTATGAATAAACAAATGCTACAGACACCTTTAGCACTGATTCAATACTTAAATGAGCTTCCACAGTTTCTACAGAGTAGTGGCTGTGGTAAGAGGACTTGTATAGTTTGTGCAGATGCTTGTACAGAGAAAATTACATCCTAATAATTACTTTTCATATAATGCAATTTCCTGAACACAAACAGTTTTGTTTGGTACACTTTTGCTGAGTAGGATGCCACCACTCATCTGGCAAAGCCAGAATAATTCAAACATGTCTGACAGGATCAGGACTTGGAAATGCAAGTCAGCTGTTGGAAGCAGGATGCAGAGCAGTTGTGTATGGTGATGAAGTAGTGACACTGCTTCTCTCTATTGCAGCTTGTCAACAAATGACAGGAGCATGTCATTCTTTGTCTCATATATTTATAATCTCAAACTTAAATCCCCAATTTGTAAATAGATTTGTATCTTCTGTTGGCTGTTTTGCCAATTAGCATAGTGTCACTTCATTTCCAGAACCTCTGCCCACTAGTATCTTATAGTCTGGCCAATTATTTTAAGCATACTTTAATCAGATTTGTTGGTTTGTTTGTTTTTTTTAAAAAATATTCCCTTGTGCATTAGAGTTTAGCAATTTGATTTAGATAATCAGATATTGTCCATATATCCAAATAATTCAGGAGAGTTTCTCATGGTTAGCTATGACAATATAGGATAATGGATTTTTGAAAATTTTTAACCAAATATGAAAACATTTGAATGTTTTAAATCAGAATGATCTTTGACCTGAAATTTAATTAAGGAGTGGAAAATAGGAAAAGTGGGTGGAATCAGGAGAGGATTAAACAAAAAAGGAAATCCCTGTCCATTCAAGATTTTGCTCCTGTTAAATGGTGTAAAAAGTTCTTGTCATATAATAGTTGGGCCTTATAAATGAGATAAATTTGAAAATTAGAAAGAGTGGAAAATGAAAACTTAGTAATTTGATTTCTTTCTTCATTTTTAATAAAAATGAGCAAGCTGCAGGGAAGAATAAAAAGTCGAAGGAAGCACATTTGTAGCCATCCATCTCCTAATGAGTAGCATTAGGAAACCATATGTAAGTATTTAGTCTTGACTGTAACGGATTGAATACATTTGGTCTTGCTGGATGAAACAAGCCCAAATCTATCAAATACTTGGGTGAAAAAACAGTTGAAAATTCTGATTACTGCAAATGGAAACCAAAGAGCCATGCTCAAAGGCTTGATAAATACTGGAAGCAGATGAGGAGAAAGTTTCAGTTCTATTATTAGTGCTAATCAGACAGGTGATAAATAAATTTCCAAATTATATCAGTT